GAGAGAGAGAGAGAGAGAGAGAGAGAGAGAGAGAGAGAGAGAGAGTTCTTCTTCCTCTTCTTCTAAGTCCACCATCTCTTCTTCCCCTCTCACCACCTGACCTCTCAGTATCAGCGGACTACTACAGAGGGAGAGTTGTGACTTGAGACTTGACGACATTGGATCCAGACTTGACATTTGGGATTCAGACATTTCGACGAGGGACTATTTGGGCTGTGCCGAAGACTTGGTGTTGACGACATTCCCATCTTCCCCTCCTCTTCGTCTAACCCCTTCCTCTTCGTCTGTGTATGATAGGGGGCTGGCGCAGTCTTACTGTGTGAAGCGCCAGACCCCATTCACACCGTGTAACGATGATGATGATGTCTGTTCAGGGCTGCATTGCAATATTGATTGTTCGGATCATTGGTATCTAAGTCTTCTGCTGTGCTATCTTATACTTTGTATTGAGAGGTCGGTTCTTGTTCTGGTCTGCACGTTACAGTATGCAACAGTTTGGTATCGGAGCGGACCTCTCATTCAGAGGACCCGCTCAATCAAATAGCCAGCTTGCTTGATGTATCGATTACTCGTTAGTAAATCAAGTAGGACTTCGTCAAATCTCTGAAGTTTTTTTTTTTCTCGCAACAACTATCTGGAATTTCTGATATTCGCATTTCGTGTTACCTGAAAATTTCTGATATCAGTATTTCGTTTTTACGTAACAAATATCTGAAAATTTCTGATAAATCGCATTTCGTTTTGTCTGAAAATTCCCGATAGTAGCATTTCGTTTCTCTGATATTTCGCATACATAGCTGAAATTTTCTGATGTTAGTATTTCGTTTTCTAGGCGTATTGGGACAATGATAGAAGTGGTCATATTCTCGGAAACGGAAATTATTCTTTTCTGAAAATCGAATTTCCATTCTATCTCGCAAATGTTTTTTGAAACCGAAATCTTGCGAAGCCTACCAACATTTCGATAGGCATATTCGGAGGTTGCCATATTCTCAGAAACGGGATTTAGTTCTTTTCTGAAAATCGCATCTCTATTCTATCTTGCAAATTTTTTTTTCAAGATCGCATTTTGTAAAAAGCCGAAACTTTGCGGAACCTAGCCTAGAGCTCGTTCATAGTACTCTTTTGACATATCCCACTCATAATAGCTCTGGGCTTGCCAGGCCAACTGGCCAATGAGTCGCTTGCCGACTACAAAAAGTGGTTCCAGGCTCAGATCGCTCTCATTGAGGCTGAGGAACAGCGCCAGCGGGCAGCCGGGGCTGCCCGCCTACAAGCTGAAGCAGCGGCAACAGAGGAGAAGCAGCGGCTACAGGCCGAAGCAGACGCTGAGACCCAGGCACGCCGCAAGGAGGCCCAGGTTCTGCTGCAGCGGCATGAAGCGGCCAGCATCGACAGACTCAAATTCTGGCACTTTGAACCGAACGGCGACGACGCAACACCGGAAGAGCAGCATAAGGAGTTCCTCTCCAAACTCGTGACACGGTTGCTGTACACGTGCAACTACCAACAGTCCGAGTTAGAGAAACAGAACCAGGAACTGCAGCAACAGTACCAGGATCTGAACACACAACACCAGGAGTTGGCGAACCTCCGCCGGATGGTGCAGAGCCACGAGGATGCTACACGGGCACTCAATTCCCGTGTACTGGACCTGGAACAGGATGTACCAGGACCAAATGCTGGGGCTTCCAGCAGTGCACCCTCTAGCCGCCAACTGGAGGAACGCGTTGACCACGTAGTGGCAATGCTGGGCGACATCAGCACCTTCGCGGCGCCAACCACCATCAGCAGCCAGCTGGACACGTTGAAGACTGAGATTCAGCAACTGCAGTCGACGAACACGGATGGCAACAATCCAAAGCAATACAAGATGCCAACCTTTCAACTGGAGAAGTTCGATGACTACACGCATCACGACCCGGCAACTGCGGATTCTGCCTGTCGCCAAGCACGCGTACATCAGCGCCCTGTTCATGAACTCAAAGGGCGGATGCCAGATCAGGTTAACTCACCTGGCAGCCACCCACGGCGTCGACGTCGCAGATTTGAAGGACGAGATCACATGGGAAGAGTTGACACGACTGTGGAAGAAGCGGTTCATCGTCGACGACGCACCAGCACTAGCCATCAACCGTCTCTTCACCATGTCTCAGGGCAACACAGCAACACGTGACTGGCTCACGGAATGGTAGAAGATCGCGGCAGTGCCCGATCTGGACTTACCATTCACACATCTACGTCGTGAGTTCTACAACAGGTCATGTGCTGCACTGAGCCAGGCACTTGATGATCGCGAGCAATACACCACCTTCGTTGAGATCATTGATAAGGCAAGGGAGATCATCAAGACCAACAGGTCGGCTGCAGACGAGGAGTCAACATGGCAGCCAACCTATGTGGAGAAGGTGAGAACTGGTCCGCGACAGCAGCAGTTTGCTGCAGTCCAATCGGACCACACTGTGGAAGACCCGGCAGCCACCCAAGCGTCACGTGAGGGAGATCAGGTGGCTGCTGTCCAGCCGCGAAGCAACAACAAACCCCGAGTGAACGGGAAGGCGAAATCAGCATCGCCGGCCGGAAATGGACAGCTAGCACCACCATGGGTCAAGTTCGGCTTGACCGAGGCCGAGTACAAGTACCGCGGCCGTTACGGCTGCTGCTACTGATGCAACAACACCAAGCACAAGACCTCCCTTTGCCAGGATCAGGCCAAGGAGGATGTGCGGCCTCGTCTTAACTCGGGAAACTGAGTTGCGCAGGGGGTGAGGCGACTCCACCTCTCACTCCGCCAGATTCGGCCGCCTTGCTAGCGGCCTCCTACACATCTGGGGAGGATGCGCATGTCGCAAGTCCTCGGTACACTTACGAGGATTATGCTGTCCACTTGGTTCCACCGCTGGACCAACCGCTCCACGTGCAACACTCTACTGCATGCACGGTTTCATCACCATCGACAACCGATTCGGCAGCTTCGCCGCCATCTACCGTCGGGGATTCAACGTCATGGTCAAGACTTGAAGAGCTCGACCCGTTGACT